CGGTGTACAAGTCCACACTGCACAAACTGTGCATTGTGGACTTGTACACTGTAGGTTTCGTATGAAGCCTACGATTTTACTATTTTTTCGGTTTTTTTTTTAAAAAATTATCCCTTGTACAAAAACTACTCCTAACAAAAATACGGTAAAATTTCTATAAAAAATAGACGTACGACATTGTTCTTCGGGTGCTCCATTGAGAGAAAACAGTAGAGAAACAAAGGAAAAAGTAATAAAAATGACCTAATCAGAAAATCAATACATTATATACTATGGACCAATTGGCCCCGAAAGAGTAGACGGACCGGGAAACAGTAGTCCATTGCCCTAAAACCGTAGACTTCACCCCGTTGACCGTTGTCAACACACGTTGATCGTAGTCAACGCTAGTCATCTACTCTTTCGGGGTGAGATTCTTTGGGGCAAATAGGTTGGGCGGGGTAGGAAGGTTGAGTCAAAATTTGGCACATTTATGACTATTTATCCTTTTAGAATGTGTTTAAATAGGGGTGAGATTCTTTGGTTCAACACAAAAACATAAAATGCTTTCTTTCGTGTATTTTTGACAAATTTTTTGTTTCTGGCTTTTATATTTTGTAACTAGGCGAATGCCCGCGCGTTGCGCAGAAGCATCTATATATCTGAAATATTTACAAATATATGTTTTTTTAAATATAACAATAATGTTGTTGTTAAATTTGATATAATAATTCGTATATACTAAGTTGATATATAAATTATTTTGAATTATATAAAAATATATACATGTATTAAAACTACATAATCTCAATATTTTGAATAACCTCTACCTGCTAGTTAAGAATAAAATTAAATATAATATATGCTGTGATGTTATTTATAATTGTTGTTATTGTTAATTAATTTTTTAATATTTATTTTCTTAACGTTCTAATTTCTATCATTGTAATTATTTAAAACATCAAACAATTTTTTTTTTGATTTTAAAGGTAACAAATAATCATTTATCTAAGTTATTTTTAACTATTGTTATTGTAAGTTATTTTAAGCTACTTATTTGAAAGTTTTAACGATTAGAAAAATATCTTTAGGAAATATTTAGTTAAATTGATATTACAATTTAGTTTTTGCATTTAGCACTACAATTTATCACTTTTAACTATTCACAAAATATTCTTTGCGTTTTTTAAGTGGAACTGCAATTTATATTGAAGGTGACTCTGTCATGTTATATTTAAATTAACAATTTAAGTATTTTGTCAAAACTATTCAAAAGTTGTAGCTTTAAACTAATTATGGTTTACATACAACAACATATTAAATCTAATAAATTAAGTATAATATGTTAGAAGTTAAAGACATAACTTTATAAGTAGAAGTAAAAATATTATTTTAATATTTAAATTTAGTTTATTTATGATTACACTTTAGGTTTGATACTTATTTAACCTTATTAACAAACGTATAATCATTATTAGAAAGACACTACAGTTTATCACTTTTAACTATTTAAAAAATATTCATTAGGTTGTTTAAGTTGAACAAAAATTTATATTTAAGTTGATCCTGTAAGGTTATATATAAATTTACACTTTAAGTATTTTATACAAATTGTTCAAAAGTTGTAGCTTTAAAATGACAATGCTTTACATACAACAACATATTAGAGCTAATAAATTAAGTATAATATGTTAAAAGTTAAAAACATAACTTTATAAGTAGAAGAAAATATATTCTTTTAATATTGAAATTTAGTTTATATATGATTACACTTTAGGTTTTATATTTATTTAACCTTATTAACCAACTTAAAATCATTATTAGAAAGAAATTGAAAAGTCATGGGAGTTTCAAATGAATGTGGTGAAAGAAAAAATGAATGAGAGTTTCAAATGAATGTGGTGAAAGGAAAAATGTTTCCTTTATAAGTATATAATGATGATCTTGAATATCAAATTTCATGTTTGTGTCTCGATTATCATACTAATTAATAAATTTATTGAAAAATAAATATGGTAAGAAAGGATCATGATTATAACTGTTTACGAGGGCCTAAGGTACACGGTTAACGAAACCATGATAAGTATATGGATTGGTTATAGTTGGTTAATGACACCCGCCTCTATGTTAAATTATATGATCTTTTTTAATAAGAGCAAAATGCAGAAAAACACAATTATTTATCTACAAACATTCAGAAAAACTCTTATATTTCGTTTATATACATAAAACTCCTTACATTTTCAGTTACCTTTCACATTAACGCAAATATCCGATTTTTTAAAGGAATTACAGATTGTTTTGTGACATGACATTTATATTTTTCGTTTTTAGATTAACATGGAAACAAAAATAAGTATGTTCCTCTTGTTTAAGGTAAAACATGAGAACGATATCATTTACTTAACGGTCATTTACTCAAGCAAAAATAAGTGACATCATTTATTCATTTTTACATGTCAACCTAAAAACGAACAATATAAATATCATGCCACAAAACGATCGATAACTTCTTAAAAAACAGATATTTTGGTAAATCTAAAAGTAACTGAAAATGTAATGGTTTTTTTTTGCATGTAAACAAAATGTAGAGTTTTTCTAAATGTTGGTAGATAAATTGTTGTGTTTTTCTACATTTTGCCTTTTTAATAATCGAAAGTGTTAATACAATAAAAGACACTATATTTAGTTTTTTCGAATTAAACTTCAACTTATTTTTCTCCTCAAAAAGGTCTTGCATTTTTCTTTTTTTCTTTTCTTTTTTCATTTTAGCAAGTTTACCGCTAATCTTCTGTTTTTAGACTATTGGACTATATATATATATATATATATATATATATATATATATATATATATATATAAACTTGAACTTCACATGTGACAATTTTGTTGGAAGCTAATTTCAACTTTCATGTTTTCTCGACTATAAACGTTTTCAATTTTGGAAGTGATTTGATCCATAATAATCTCATTACATTCTTTTGAGAATTAATTTTTGTTTCCATTTGAACCGGAATTTTGTTTTGACTTATAATTCTCATGTTCTTTTGTTGTTTATATTGTTCTTAATGATTTTCATTTTTCAGCATTATATTATAAAAAAAAAAAAAAAAAAAAAAAAAAAAAAAAAAAAAACTTTTGATTTGTTCCAAACAAAGAGGAAAACTGTTATATCAAATTCGTGTTAATAAAATTCATATCAAAATCTATTTGCGAGGTGCTAAAAGACTATAACAGGTAAAAAACAACAGTACAAATAAGTTCGGTATCTTAGATTGTTTTATTTAGTGCATGTTAATTTTTAACATTACACTAATCAAGTTGAGAATACACATCGAATACCTCATGATTTGTAATTAATTGGCAGTAGTAACCAAAGGGTTTCTAACCCACAGGTATAAGGTGTTGTTTTCCTTCTTTGAGGACGAGAGTTCAAGACTTCAAGTCTCATCTGAAACATATATATAATTAGGTGTAGTTTATGAGTATATCAATTTGCCTTTTCTAAAAAAATAAAAATTAGTGTTACCAAAGATATTTTAGAATAGTCCACAAGCTTGCTCCAAGTCATTTCTAGCAAAATCAAGTGTTTCTTCTCTACATTACATAAACACTATAGTTGGTTTGCAACAAATTAATAAATACATTTTTGAAAATATTAATTTACTGTTTATCAGCATCTAGAGTTAGAACCTTACTAACTGAAATTTGTTCTCTTTGTCAAAGTATAATACATATGTTACCCTTCAGAATAATTTGTATTGCAACAAATCAGGTACTATTTTACTCTTCCAAATTATTTTATATATAAGACAAAGTAAATAAATATATACTTGTGATAATTCATAAAGAACATGAGAGAGATGTAGGTGAAAAGATATAGTAATAATTGGTAAGAGAACATCATAAAAAAGCAAAAGAAAAAATAAAGAAGGAAAAGTCACATAAACAATCACAAGACACCAAAAAAATGTTTTAAACATAAAAAATATACTTTAAATCATTATTTAATTTATTACTAAACACGCTTTATCTGTTGATAGCTCATAGAACAAGTCAGAGAAAAATTAAAGGCAACAATCTAAGTATTTAAGCTCTGCGGAATGCGTTCAAAAGTTTATTTAAAAAACAAAATAATATTTTAACAACCGGAGATTTCATCTAAATTCTTCTATTTTCGCTTCATTTTTATCAATATGAACTTGTCCCCATGCAAACTAAAAAAATTATTGACACATCAACTCATTGTATCTTAACAAACCAAAAAAGTACCCTTTTAATTCAAACTCACACTTACTCATTACATAATTTATTATTCCACCCACTCATTTTGCCTAAAAATGGAAGTGTCATCAACACTTCACTTCAACTTACTTTTCAAGATTTTTGACCATTACACCAAACAAGTGTAATCATTTTAAAAGGGCCTTTCTCCACAGTTTAATCTAGGTAAGAAAGTACTTGGCCAAATCATGTCTAACAATCATGAAAAAAACATATTCCACATCTTTATGACCATCATCAATTGCACCAACCACCTTAACAGGATTTGTCAAGTCAAGATTTTGACTTTTGCCCTTAATAAAGGGCAATCTTGTCAAGAAATGGTCTTCTCACTAGTAACAATCATATAGATTATTGGGTTGTTATTTATTACTATTATTTTTTTTTTTAGGAATGCATGATTTGGATTAAATGTTTGTCGGGAAAAATAATGGATGTTTGAATTACATGTTTAATAAAAAAAATATTGTTAATGATAATTTAAAATGACAAAAAATCATTGATTTATGAATTAATTATATAAAAACAATACTTGACATAAGATAATGATGTAATTTCAAAAATAATTAATTATAACATCATTTATAATTAGTAATCAAACACCTAAAAACACCTCCGATCCATTTTCTCCATACAAAAAGAAACAATTTAAAAGAAAAAAAGATAAATAAATAAATAACCTTAAAATGTAGCAGTATGTATATCCATTTGACAACAAACAACTACAAAATTACAATTCCAATTCAAAGTTACATTTAAAAAAAAATGGTGACAATTGTCAGCAATAAATAATCAAAAGACCAAAAAGGTCTTTTACAACATGTCACACAATCTTGTGGGGAATGATTTTCTCACCCAATATAAATAAATAAAGTTGAAAAATCTAACCTCAACAACACAATTCAGCAATGATGTCCAATTCCTTCAAATAATTGCTAAAAGCTTAAATACCAATTTTCATCTTCTTCAAATATACATGAATAATTAATTACTCCACTCCACCTCAGTTATCGGTTTGAAGTGCAGCAGTAATCCATTCAGATGCTGCCTTTTCAATGTCTGGCTCAATCATGTGAGATACAGATATGGGAGTAACTGACACCTGTTTCAAAACAATTAAACAGATTTAGTGTATGTACTTTCACAAATTTTATAATTAAAAAAAAAAGTATTTAGTTTTTTAATGTTGAAATAAGTTTAGGGGACTTACAAATCCGCTTAGAAGGGCTCTGAAATCAAGATTTTCATCTGTTTCTTCTTGGGGAGTGTCTTGAAACTGCATCATTAATTATAAAATGCTTTTATTTTCATAACATAAATAATGCTAGAAACTTTGATTGAAATACATTCTTCGATATATGATAACTGATATTTAAAAAGCCTACCTCTAGCCTGAAGTATTTGACTGTTTTATTGGGGTCAACTTTCCCTGATACACCAACTGATTCAACAACCTCCAAATTCTTCTTCTGTGAGTTTAACCTTCTTGCTGCACCCTTCAATAAATAACCACAACAAAACAATCAAATTATAAAAAAGATCCAAACTTTTATAAAAATTTAACAGCTTTTATATAAATTACTTACTGCAGCAGATGCATCTCGACCAAGTTGTGCAAGTTGCAAACCCATGCCTGGTTGATTTGACATAAACCTTGCAGCTGAAGGGTTTCTATTGGCTGCAATTGCTTGCCATACCGGTTTTGACCTCCATAAACTCTGCTTTGTCAACTTAAACCCCTGCAAATATGAAAAGTAACAGTTTTAGTCCCTCAAAGATAAAATTGTGATTAAGGTATAAAATATATAACAAACCTTGTTTTCTAAAGGGGAAGAAGGAACGGTGATATGTAAGGAAGAGCTTTTGGGGAAAGTCCCATTTTCTACATCTTTCATGGCTGAGTTTATAACAGGTAAACAAACAGATGCAGCATCCTTGAATTCATTTTCTTGACTTTCACCTTTTTTCCTGGAACATATGAACATTTGATTTGATTTATTAAATGTGTGTAAAACTAATAATCTAAAGGAGAATTGGTTAGTTACCAGTTTAGGGAGATTGATAAAGATGGTATCCCACTAATTAAGGCTTGTCTAGCTCCAGCTACAGCACTCGAGGAAAACCTGTTTGATTATTAAAAAGATGATTTTTTTGGATTTTGATAACTTAAAATTTGAGAATATTTAGCTGATAGAGCGATAGAAGAAGTACTTACATGTCATTGCCACAGATTGGACCCTTGTTAACTCCAACAACCACCTGATGATCATACCAAAATGAGTCAAAATTTATGATAAAATTGATGATTGAATAAGGATAACACCTAAAGAAACATACCAGTTGTGGTTTTGACCAGGCAAACAATGCCCCAGATAAGGCTAAAGAAACACAGTCCACAGGAGTACCAGAAACCTCGTACGCAGTGGCACCTTTGATTTCAACTGAGCTTACAGCAATTGATTCTTGAAATGTATACGAATGGCCAGATAATGATTTATCACTGCAAATCCCATGGATAAATATATCAATTAACCTCAAGATTGCAAAGAAATTATCTTTTTGATTCGAAGGATAGATTTTGGTGTTTGATACCGACAACAAATCCAGATGTAAAGTAAAACTAGTTTTGAATTATTAACATCACATGATCAAATTCGAAAAGCACATCCAGACACCTCCCAATATTCCATAAGCCAGAGAATCAAGCAGAAAAAAAAGGGAGGGATTTATAACATATTAGAGCTAATTCGGTAAATCACTTATGTATAATGTAAAGGGTGAAGAAATTTACACTTGAGGGGCGCAGACACTGACATTATAGAGGCCTTGACTAACAAGAGCTTCAATGAGAAAAATGAGACCAGGAGAATCGATCCCGTCACTATTTGTAACAAAAATCACAGGCTTGGAAGGGTCAAAATCATCAACGGGAGCAGAAGACTGAACGGCGGATTCATCATCCTTTTTATTGTTCGATTTGTCATCATTTTCTTCGGGAGCAGGGTTGCCTTTCTTCTTAAGAACATCCTGTAGATTCGAAACCAAACCTGGAGGCAACTTCATGCCAGGAGTCGTCATTATTTTTCTTTTTTACAAAACAAAGATAGAAAGTTAGGGAAATCAAACCCTAGAGAGAGAAAAGAGAAAAAAGGGGGGAGGATAGGGAGAGAGAATGGGATGAGGGATTGTGGAAAAAGTGTGATTGATGATGGAAGGAATGGATAGAGCGATTCAAACGGCGTGTATATAAAAATGGCGATGGAGATGTAGAGAGAGAAATAAAGAATGTTGCTTGAATGGGGTACCACTAATCAAAGAGAGGGAGAGGGAGAGGAAGAGGGAAGGATAAAGAAACAGTGTGATAATGAATGATGGGGATATCCTTTCATTCACCCTTCGGAGTTATTTACAGTTTCCTCTCTTTTCATATAGTGAATATCAAATAAAAATTGTCTTCGTAGATATATTTCTAGTGTATTAGATTATTTTTTTTTGGTTATATATATATATATATATATATATATATATATATATATATATAACTTGAATACTTGATAATTTTTAATTATTTTAAATTATTTAATATTTATTCATTATTTTTATGTTTTTTTTTTCTTTCATTCAAAGTCACCTATTAAATATTATCTTCTAGGATAAATAACACAAAAGATACTAAATTTACACCAAAATTCTAATTTGACACTGTATTTTTTTTGTCTCAAATTTGATACTGTGTTTTTTAATTTTTTTACAATTCTGACCATTTGACCGGTCAACCCGGTCACCTGCTGATGTGGCATGATTACGTGTCAGCTTTGATGATGTGGCATGTTGACATGACATGCTGACGTGTCAAAATTGAATTTTTTTCCACAAAAGACATTAAGTTTTCACTTTTTTCGATTTTGACACTAAGTTTAATTTTTTCTTTCAATTTTGACACTCTGTTTTTTTGTTCCAAATCGAACATCATTTTTCCAATTTTGTTTAATTTTGACCATAAACCATTTGAAACCGTATAAATATTTTTTTTATTACATTTTAAACCGTATAAATATATTTTTTTCGTTTAAAAACCACATTTTTATTTAAATACAAGGTGTTCTTTTTTACATTCAAACCATAATGTATAAATATGCATTAGTTATATCATGAAAACCAAACTAACCATAAGCTTCGAATAAGATGTAAAAATTTCACGGGTTGCTTTGAATGTTAAAAAAAATGTGATTAATACGCGGGGCATACCATAGGGTACGCTTAGCGTACTAGCTGAGAAGCTAGTACGCAGGGCGTACCACATGGTAAGCTTAGCGTACTAAGGGGGAAGTATGATCGTGGAGTAGAGCCTCGTACGCTGGGCGTACGAGGGTTTAATGAAGCCCTAATTTTAGGGTGTTGCGCCCTATATAAACTCCTCAAGTCCCCTAGGGCTGGCCTCTTTACTAGCCTTCATACCTCCTAAACCCTAAATTTCGACCCTTAGCCATCATTTTGTGTCTTTGAGCTCTTGAGAAGAAAAGTTGGTGCTTATTTGCTCATTTTGAAGGGATAGAAGAAGGTTGAAGGTCCATTGCTTAGTGTGAAGCTTAGAGATCCAGAATCATCACTCCTTTTGCAAAGTCATTTGAGGTATAAAGATCTTATCTTGATAGGTTCTCTTATGGATCTTCTTTTGGACTTATTTATGACCATTTTAGTCCCTTTTGGTTGGTCTTGATGAGCTAAGACCGTTTTAGAAGCTAAATCTTGTAGATCTGGATGTTTGGATGGCTTATTAAGCTTAAAGGTGCAAACTTTATGGTGTTTATGGTCTCATGCATGCATTAAGTCATTTATTAAGCTCTTTTGAGCTCTAAGAGCCTCATTAAGCCATGCATGCACGTAAAGTTGGCAACTTTACGTGATAAACCATCTTAAGGAAGTCAGATCTGAGTTTGGTTGAGGTCTTAATCGATTAAGAGCTTGAAAAATGGAAGTTGGCCAAATGGGGGAGTACGTTGGGCGTACAAGCAGGTACGCTTAGCGTACAAGTCTTTAAGCGAGTACGTTGCGCGTACGTGCTGAGTACGCCCCGCATACTCAGCAGGTTGGTCTTCAGACGCTTGGGCTTTCGGTTTGAGCTATGTTTGGACTTAGATGCTTAGGGCCTTGTTGGGCCATCAGGTTTTTAGGTTGATGCTTGTTTTGGGTTTGCTTGGAAAATGCCCATGAAAGAGATTTGGGCCCAATTTGGAAAATTGGGCCATAATTGGGCTTGAGGTGATTATTTTGGAATTTGGGCTTTTGGAAAATTGGTTTAGGCCTAGGCTTTGGGCCAAGGGTAAAAAGGTCTTTTACCATATATTAGACTCTTTGTGTGAGTTAGGATCTAATTATTAATTGGATGATTATTTTGTGATTGATAGCGCGGGGATTCTAGCGAGCCAACAACCAGAGATTTATCTGTACGATTCAGCAGTGCGAGGTGAGTTTACTCACCATGTTTAGCGGGTCAAAGGCACCAATGTCGGCCCATGATTTTGTTATGTTAGGATGCTAGATGTCTGCGTGACTCTTACATGTGATATGTACTCGTATGCTTACAGGGCGGGGCTCGATGACCATTTTGTATGTTATGTATATTTGTGATTATTGCATGTGTTATGTGTTTACATGTTTATATGTTTATATGTATGCTGGGTGGGGCCCGATGAATTACAGATATGTATACCGAACGGGGCCCGATGAAGGGTGGGGTTCACTATGTGTTTATTTATGTATGTGTGTTATGTGGTATTTTACGGAACTCACTAAACTTTGTGCTTACGATTTTTGGGTGTATGTTTCAGGTACTTATGTCTTCAAAGGGAAGAACCCGGGAGGATTGCAGAGCACACACCACTCGATTTCGCATTTTGTGATTCACTCTGATTATTATGATGTATTGATAAAATTTGATTACATTGGTTTTATGACAACGATATGGCAACTGTTTTATTAATTTAAAATAAAAGATTTTTGGGTCTTATTTTTGGGACGTTACAAATGATCTAAGTTCTACTAACTTTAGCAATAATAAGAAAAACCATAACTTTAACATATAAAGATTTTTTATCAAACAAATATAATATATTAAACATAACTAATATTCGTACGATTGAATCACACCAAATCACTAGGTTACATCTAATCTAGTGAAAACATTAGAGTTTTTACCCCATAATCGATAAACTAAAACATAAAAACATAAGAAACGATTTACAAAACATGATTATTAAGCAAACCGATTCGAAATCATAATGTTTCTCGCTCCGATTCTTCAAATCTTTGCTTCAATTTGCTTATCCACCTTCAAAATCGACCAAAAGGGTTTTTGGACGATTAGAATACCTTCTGACCTCTTAGGAGAAGTCCCCAAGGGTTGCACACAAGAATTAGGGTTGAGAAAACATTTATTTATAGTGTTTTATGTTGGCATATTTTCGCAATGCTAAGGGTAATGGTTCGTGGCGCTAAGCCTTATTTGCATTTAAGTCAGTCTCGATCTTCTCGTTGTCGAAATTTGATTTTTGGAAATCGCAGAAATTCGTTGTGCGACTACTTTCTCGTCACGGCGTGATTTTGGTTGCTTCACGTTTTTCAATATTTTTTTAGCTCTTTTCAACTCCAATTTGTTCCTTTTGCTCCAAGCCATGTTTTTTCCTAAATTTATTCAAAACAAAGCATTATATGTATCTTTTATATTTAATTATATAAATTAAGCCCTAAATATTAAGATAATTACCCCAAAATATATGACTAATTTGGACAATATCACTTTGGAGTGACACGAGCTAATTTGAAGACAAATTATAGACAAACTGAAACAGTAATGTGTGAATGTTGAGCATGATCTGGAAGACAAAAAGTCGAAGAAATTTTGAAAAAGATTTGACTTGACCATGCATTTTAGACATAGCCATGCCAGTTGAAGAAATTAAGAAAATGACACATACTTTGGAGTGACATGACCATGTCAGTTTTTGGCCTTCGCACGACATGACCATATAATGAAGTTCTTTGTTATAATTTTGAGTGACATAGTTTAGTTTTTAGGAGTAACATAACCAAGTTAATCATTTTTCCAGAACGTGGATTTTTGAATTTTAAGAGATTTTTTTCCGGAAAAAATAGGAGGTTTGGTTTCTAGCACCACGTTTTCACGAGAGGAACAAGCGGGGGGACAACGACTTGAAAACTTTTAGGATTCTTAGTACCAAAACACTTGATTTTTCTTCCATTATAAGTCTTTGATTATCTTTTTCATATAATATTTTATAGTTCTGGATGGTTTAGTTGTCTTAAATGGCTAAATCATTGGTGTCAGCATTTGATTTTGTAATCATGTGAGTAACTTTAGGTTTAATATTAGAAGTTGTTGATTAGGCTTTTTTTATCCATATAATTCCGTTAGAACAAACTTTTGTTGTTATATTTCTTTTGAATTTGATCACTCAATTTGGGTTTAGATTATTGAATTTCTATGGTGGTGGTTTGATTTTGTAATCAGCCATTTAATTGACTAAAGTAGTGAATTATGTTATCGTCTTGTTATAGATGTTGGTGGACATTATGAAATCCATCGATACAATTGTTCGTTTACCGAGTTTGTTCGAACATTAAGGCAATTCTCACATAATTATTGATAGCTTTTTCAATAATTATACAGCGGATTAGTTCCGATTGAAGAGCTTGTTATAATTGATTAACTTTGTAACTTGGTTGAGGAGTTTATTTCAATCGAATGCTAAACAAATAAGATTTATTATTCGATAAACTCACTAATGAGTCTCATCAATCAAAAACAAGTGTAAAAAACTATTACACGACCACGACTTATGATCATGTTTTTCCAACAATTATATAATGTTAAAATCATTGACCAAAACCATAATATAATCATGTCAAAAGAACATTTTTTTTTTGCAGAATTGACACTTTTTTGGATCAATCTACAAATAAAGAGCAAACTACAGAGACCAAGTTTTGCAACTTCCTCAAGGTTTTTTAATTATTTATTTATTTGTAAAAATGACAGTTTTTGGATCCAATCCAAAAAAAAAACCCAGCAAACGACAAGAACCATTTTTGCAGCTTTCTCAAGATTATGTACCAAGAAAAATACCACCGTATCTTTCAGAATGATAATGACCAAAAATTATATTTAACCTTATAAAACTTGTTAAAAAGTAGAGAGTTGCAAAGGTATGTAACCAACTTCTTTATTGTATCACATGTCATCATATTGCTTTCTAGTTGCAAAAGCATAAAAGTGATAATAATTGAAGACAGGTTTTGGTATTTTGTAGAAATAGTCAAAAAGAAATTAAATACACCTCACCAACCATAATTGAATTAGTTTTATAGTTAATGTCTCCAACCTCATAAAACCACTTCATTACTTACAACCTGTTATAAACCGTCGTGTATTCATTGTCGGAGGGGAATAATTCTTACCCTTTTTTTCTATTTAACAAATGTTAGTTACCATAGAATAATAAAAAGATAGTTATTTTTTTTTCCTTTTTATAAAGAAACAAGCATATACTCAAAAAGGTATAATATAATCCCATACATTTGAAGTTGAATGAGACACATATACTTGTCGATTATACAAAAAAGGATCTTTTCAGTTCAATTTAAATGAATACACAAAACATACAGGAGTATTAAGTATTAAGTGGTGTTTTTAATCTTTTAGTTTGACTTTAAGTGCTTCAATAACTGCTGAAAAATCATGGTCACTTAATCCATGAGACTTAGCCACCTTGTAAAGCTCATTTGCAGCAGCTGCAATTGGTGTTGATTGAGAAACAGATTCAGCTAATCCAAGAGCAAGCCTCATATCCTACAACAACAAATCTTTTTTTACTTTTATAGATTTAACAACTTAGAGGTTGTTTGATAGTTGCCATTAAGTCATAAATTTTTATAAAGAAAGTGAGAGGCTTTCCCATTAAGTCATAACTTTTTATTTTTCCTTTTTATTTGTCAAATATAATTTTTTTACCTTCTGTTGATGCTTTAAGGGAAAAGCAGTGGGGTACTTGGATTGCACCATTGAAGGGCCTTTCATTGAGAACATTGGTGAACTAATGGCACCCTGTGAAATTACCTACAAAAAAGACACCACATACATTTTTTTTTTAAATTTAAAGATGTCTGCTTACATTTGGTCAAAAGTATATTTGTATAAACAAATAACATGAAAAACTGAATCTTTTTGGTATAGGTGACAAAAATGGACAGGTTGGGATGCTGTATCATGTATGTCAATAAGATTTGGTCAAACAAGCAAAAAAAGAAAAATACGGGTTGGGTTGGGTTGGGTTGACCCATTGACTTTTTATTTATTTATTTATTATTATTATTTCATAAATAGGTAATACATTTGAGAGTAGTAGAGTACCTCAACAATGACAGTTGGATCGAGTCCTACTTTCTCACCAAGAAGCAATCCTTCAGCAAAAGAAGTCATCATACTGCAAATAGTATCGAATACAAAAAACAAAAATAAAAAATAAAAAATAAAAAATAAAAAATAAAAATAATACACAAATAAAGAAATGGGTGAACGTGAAAATTTAAAAAAATAAAAAATAAAAAAATTGGATTTGAAATACCTTCCCATGATCATGTTTACAACAAGTTTCATTGCAGCTCCATTTCCAACATCACCTAGGTAAAATCTTGACTGGACCAATAGCATAAATAATAATATAAATTTTTCTTAAAAATTTTAGTAAAAAATTATATAATTATAAATATGATACCTTTCCCATGATATCAAGATATGGAGAAACTTTATCATATAAAGATTTATCACCTGCAAAAAAGGCATTTATATAATTTAAAATGAGGCTAAATTTAACGAATTATATCATTATTTTTTTTAATACCTGCAGTGAGGAATATTAGCTGTCCATCCTCTGCAGGCTTTTTAGACCCTGAAACCGGAGCCTAAAACAAAGAAAAAAATTTAAAATTTAAAAGAAATAGAAATTGTTGTGTTGTTTGTGAATCTCTAAACTAAAAAGCATTCTAGAACTATTTTCATTTTCAGTGATGAGGATGAGAAGGGCATTTACGTCTTTTGCATGGATGAAAGATCAAGAACTACTCACCTCCAAAAATAGTGCTCCGGTTTCTTTTATCTGTGCATTTATTAACGTGGATGTGGGCCCATCAACGGTTGATATATCTACATATCTACAAGTATCCATTTAAAGAACAAACAAAAATATTCAATAACAAACCTTCACAAATTTTTTTAAAAGGAAGTGTGGCATATACCCTTTTTTTGTAAAAAAATCATTCTAATATTACTTTTTTGCCCTTATGAAGTCATTACCATAAACTAAAGGCATCGACTTTGGTCCACAAGATTCGCTTAATTTGTCTTCATTGATGAGTATTTTATATCCAAAATGAGAATTTTGCTACTTAAAAAGTAATCTATATTAACCTAAATAACAAATTATTATATGCTTTTATATACAAGCAATAAGAATATACATATATATACCCTTTTCCTGAACTCATTCCACTTGCAGCCCCTTGTTCACCACAAGCAACAACCATCTGATTGTAAAACAATTATCACAATTAGTCAAAAATTGCATTGAAATAATTATATATAAAAAAAAAGAACATTCTAATATGACATACTCACTGCACTTTCAGGATCAGCCAGCATGGCAAATGTGACATCACAAGATGCTGCTACTTCCCCAGGAGATGCCTTATATCTTCACATATACAACCAAAATATTTACAGAAATCAAATGACTTCATAAAATGATATTAATTAGAAAAATACGACTTCATAAAATGATGTTCTTATCTTAACTTTTTTGTTCATACTGTTTTTTCTTGATAAATCAAATAGTTTTTTTTAATAGTCTTTTTAAAGTCATGGGAACCATCTTATATTGGTAAAAGAAAGTAAAGTACATTGCTATTCTCAGCAACTTCCCTTTACTTGAATTCTAAATTCTAAACAAGTATCTGTAGTTCAAATATATTCTCACAAAGATCGTATCTTTTAAGCATAAAGAAACAGGAAAATCAATAGTTGTGCTATAAATATATTGAAAGTAGCACATGAATCCTTACTTTGCACCAAGATCAATGAGAGGATCACATTTGCTCTTAGTCCTATTCCAAACAGTCACGTCACATCTACAACAAACCAATCAATATATATCATAAATATATAACAATTTTATGATTATATAATTATAATTGTATTATCCCCATATATATCATCTCTTAACCAAATTAAAGAAACATAACTTTTGGCTAGGTAGATACAGTATAACATGACTATAAGATTTAACAAGATGAAAACCAGAAGTTGAATAAGGTAAAACTTTGACTCTTACCCGGCTTTTATCAAATTGTGTGCCATTGGAGAACCCATAATTCCAAGACCAAGAAAGCCCACACGTGTAGGGTTTTCATCTGCCATACAAAATAAAATAAAAGATAGATGAAATTGGGTGTTTGGATGTGTGCTTTGAAAGTCATAATCTGCTAAACAAATTCCCCCTCGCAGCATCTTTTCCCAAATTAAACATTATGTTGGTTAATGTGATTACAATTGGACAACTAAATTTGCAGAAGCAAAATTGGAATTTAATCAGGAACGAGGAAGTATAAACTGAATTCTACTCCGTCATCAAAACCCACTGATAATCACAGCTAAAACGCACTCATTAAGAATTCCAAATTCACAATGAAGTAAATAGAATTGAAAAAAATGGATACCTGCGGAGGTTTGAGAAGAAAATACTTTGAAAGAGAAAGAAACTTTGGGAAATCTGGATATGGGTGTTGGTTTCAAGTGGTGGGGGAGTGCGGGGCAAAAGCTTGCTGCCATGGCTGCGTACTGGTGACTGTAATTCGCCCCTCTGGCCAGGATCGACATAGGCTTGTTTTTGTTATCTCTCTCGTTGCGCCAATGTGCTCACACATTTCAATGCAGTTTCTATCCTAATCAAGATAACATTTTACCATGTTTGGTTGAGGGATTAAAAATTTAAGAGTCGAGGGGCGAAAATACGCATATTTGTGGTAAACGGAGGTAGTTGATTGGTTTTATATTGATGAAGAGCAGTTTTTAAAATAATCGAATCTCGTTTGTGGTATTGCAAATTAGACAAAATTGCAAAAATGTCCGGTATGCATTTTTTGGAGGTTTTGGTCCAAACCACGGGTTTTTTTGGATTCGTGGTCCTTTTGGGCTAGTTTCATTGTAAAACTAGTCCCCGATAAACTTGAAAAGACGACTTTGCCCTTTTAATTTGTTTTTTTCATTTACTTAATTATTTTTTTTCTTTTATTTAAATATAAATGTTAAATCAAATCAAGAATGGGACCCACCTGCTCTCTCTCTCTCTCTCTCTCTCTCTCTCTCTTCCTTCCTTCAGTCGTTCCTTCCCGTTTTTCTTCACCACCGGCCAAGGAAGAGGTTGTCGGCCACCGGAGTTGCCTTCTCCTTCCTCCTCCGGCCGAGCAACACCACCCAAACACCCTAAAGATCGTCATTCTCTCCCAACCCCTTGTCTGCAGCGTTTTCTGTCGAATCAGGAAAGAAAAAAAAACGAGGAGCTACCAGAGCAACCCTCTCCCCACCATTGTCAGCGATGACAGCCACCAACAGTCGCCTCTCTTTCTTCTTCACTCCTTTCTGCCGTCCATAACAGATCCAAAAACACCACCCTGATTGGCGACTGCTTTGCTCCTCCCCCCCCCCCCCCCCCCCCCCCCCCCCCCTTTGTGTGTTGCTACTAGCGCCGAAGCAAATGAACCAAGGAGGGCTCGCCAGAGATCGGCTACCCCTCCCTTCCTCGGGATTTCTCAGTCACCACTGGAGCAAGCTTTGTTCCTTTATTTCTCTAGTGTTTGCATCTTATGGGTTATGATAAGGAAGTAATTAGGTATTATTCATAACTCATATCTTGTTCAAGTAGAAGAACTTGGAGCTTGGGAGTAGTCTCGGTGGAGAGAGAGAGAGAGAGAGAGAGAGAGAGAGGTGGGTCCCATTCTTATTTTTTTAATTATTAAAATAAATAAATAAGTATTAGATTTAAAAAGAAATTAAATAAAAATGGAAAATAAATACCCCAATGGTATTACAGTCATTTCACAATTTGGAGGGACCAAAAACACAATGAAACTAGGTCAAAAGGACCACGAAGCCAAAAAAGTCATTGTTTAGACTAAAACCCCAAAAAAAATGCATACCACAGGGACCATTTTTGCAGTTTTGTCTGCAAATTATTACTATTACTTATTAAACTAAACTAAGGTGATATTATAATTTTTTATGGGGTCCTAATCCATAAATTTTCTATTGATTGGGATTATATTTATAATTTTTTAAACATATGGACTATTTTTGTAAAAAAAAATAAACATGGACATTTTATAAGAATAATTTTTGGAATTTATTTTCTACATATAGACTAAATCTATCAACATACGAAAATCTTAATTTTTTCTATGACAATGGTTTTTGTGTTTTTAATTTTTGGTCTCATTTTGCTGGAAATGTTTTGAAACTCGGGTACCATTTGTGTTATGATTATAGATTACTACTACTGATGCAAAATTTTATTTGCACTTTTGCCGTTAGCGATTTTGGTTGCTGGTCGTGTAAGTGTGATGGTTGTAATGTTATGATCGTGGTTTGATGGTGTTTACAATCAAAACAACATGGTGGCTTGTTTAACCGTGTTTATGGTTGGGCCTTGACGGTTTTTGTAGTATTGTGTATGTGATTGATCTTTAGACACTCTGTAACAATGTGACTTCTTTAACTAGTAGGAATCGTGTGCCACCTAGCTTACTTCAATTTGAACTTCTTAGAGAGTTATAAGCTTTTGGAAGAATATATATATATATATATATGAGAGAGACCCCCTCTATATACTACATCATATTACTCCAAAACATGCTACATGCATATTCATAAACAATATTTTACATTGATAGTTTAATTACAAAATGTTGGATATAAACCGACTAAGTTTTAGTATATTACATAACTACCCAGGAAATTATAATTTTATACATACACGATCACTAAATACAAAAGTAATATTATTAACTATTCTAAATCTTCCAACAGTACATAATTATACTGGATGCTTATCACCTGCAATAATTAAACATTGAGAAGGATAAGCAGTGACGCTTAGTGAGTTCTAAAATAGATACAATATAACATTATGTCATATATATACCAATATGACAGAAGCAAAGAGGAACAAAGAACAACAAAGGCATATGTGAATCATGTGACAAGTTTTTCATATCAACAAATGATCTGATTCAAAGATTTACAATCAATGAGATACAACAATTTCAACTTGATATACATCAATAAGACTTCAGCCCAAGTGGCACAGAAAATAAACGATTTCTGAATTAACATTTTTGCTATAATTTACAGGCTTTCAGCCCTATCCAACATTCTGCCAATGTCAAAGTGATGCTTACTCATTCACTTCATGGTCAAATGCTACATACCAATACCCAAGTGATGCTTAGTCATTCACTACGTGGTCAAAGGTATAGCTCATTTTCATTATAACACGGGAAAGCATATTGCACACATATAACACATAACGTACAATTGTTCATATAATTTGAACTCACCGTGAATAAACGGAGGTTAAAATAGTAATTTTACTTCGTTTCTATAATTAACTTTCTTCGATAAAACCGGGAGCTTTATTGAAAACCGGGCCTTGCGAGGGTTGAGCTTCAAACTGAAAATATAAATTTCTCGGGGTCTTTGGACACTTCGGGATGTTTTTCAGGTGTTAGGTATGATCCTGAGGCTTCGGGGGGTTTAAAAGTAGCTTAAATTAAAGTTTAGAGTGTAAAAGTATGAAAAATACCAACCAGAACCGGGAGGGTTCGCACCTCCCTTTATATAGGGCGAGGCTTCGGACCAAAGGGGGAGGGAGGACACGCGTCGGATGCGAGGTCGAGACACGCGTCAGCAGCGAAGGCGAGGCACACGTTGGATGCGCATGTGAGGTGGCTCACTCCAGAGCTTCGTACGCGCCACGAGTCGGACACGGGGCAGGCATGCGAAGGTCGTACGTGGCCGAGTCCGAGCCATGCATGCGAAATTTCTCGGATTTTGTGCCCAATCTTCAAAAATTCATAACTTTCGCATACGAGCTCCGTTTTTGACGTTCTTTATATGCACGAGTAGGTGAGATTATACTCTACAACTTTCGTTTAGACTCTGTTGGCTAATTTTGACTTTATTTTTAATATTATTATTTTTAACAGACTGGGACAGGAAAATCCGTTAAAAATTCATAACTTCTTCATCTGACGTTCGTTTTCATCTGTCTTTTTACCGTTGTACTACTATTGACGAGACCTTCGATTCTCGTTTAGGTTGTGTTGGCTAAAAATCAGTCGATCTTTATTTCGAGTTTTTAGTTGTATACTATTATACTGAAACTTAGAAAAATCATAACTTCTTCATACGGAGTCAGATTTGGACGTTCTTTTTATGAAAGTTATCGGTTTAACGAATACTACGAATTTCATTTAAATCACAAAGGCTAAAAAGTAGTTTATCGAAAACTCACTTTTTAAGCTAAATAGTGTTTTGCCGGTTTTGTCGCGGATCTTCGATTGGTCATAACTTCTTCGTTATAACTCGGATTTCGATGAGGTTTTCGCCTAAACATTTCTAACGAGATAATCTAAAATTTTCAATAACATTATTTTTATTTATTTCCAACTTTATATTGTCGTTAATTTCAATAGTTGACTTTTGATCGGATCTCATAAGACTTTCAATACTTTCCGAATGATTCTACACATAGTTTTACTGCAATTCTTCATAAAACTATCTTGTTAGAACTCAACACTCAAAATCATATATTAAATAATATTCATTTTTAAACAAAACACGATAACTGAACGTGTATGTTACATATATATATATATATATATATATATATATATATATAATATAGTATTGTATTGTATTGAATTGTATTGCTATAAGAGATATTGAAAGCTTACAAAAGAATTTGGAGTGTTCTTTTTGGATGATTTGAGAAACCTATTCATAAGTGCTAGCTTAACCTTCCACATCATAATCAAAGGGAAGGTCCTAGAGTCTTCTAGTTATAAGGTTTTAAAATATTCTGCCATGTTTTATAACTGTTAGCCTATATATTATTAGCCCACATGTTTATGGGCTCTTTAGTCTTTAGCCCATTAGGGTTTTGTCTAGCTAGTATTTACATCCGCTTTATTCTTTGTAGCCTTTATGCTTTTCATTGAGAACCTTGTAATTTCCCTCTATCATAATCATATGCCAATGTTATCATGGTATCAGAGCTGAGGTTTGATACGTTCACTTGGGGGTTACGGGGGGCAGCGCGCCCCCGTCTGGTATATTATTCGTTTGTTTGTTGGTATTCGTTTGTTGTTGCTATTAATTCATTGTTGTTGTTCGTTTTATTGTTGTTTGATTGATTGCTTCCGCTGGTTTGTTACTCCTCTCATTCTCATATTTCTATATTATTATTGTGGTTATTTATTCATTTCCAAAATGACTGGAAAGGATGATTCCCTTCAGTCAATCAGTACCCGTCTAGATGGAAATAATTATATGTATTGGAGTTATGTTATGAAGAACTTCCCTCGTGGGAAGAATATGTGGGGCTATGTCACTGACACTAAAGCCAAACCCTCAGTGCCTCAAGCTGATAATTTCGATTTGTTGGTTGATACCTGGGAGACTGATAACTCCAAGGTCATTAATTGGATTAATAATTATGTTACTTAGTCTATTGGTATGCAGTTGGCTAAATATGACACAACAAAGGAAGTTTGGAATCATTTGAAGAGACTGTATACTCAGTCCAACTTTGCTAAACAATATCAGTTAGAATATGGTATTCGTGCCCTTCAACAAAATAACCAGAGCATTCAAGATTTCTATGCTGCTATGTCTAATTTTTGGGATCAATTGGCTCTTACTGAATCTAGAAAGTTAAAAGATTTTGAGCCTTACATTCCCAGGAGGG